TACTTACTTGTATCAATCATATTTTAGTACTTTTAGTATCTTGTATATAAGTAATAAATAATTGGTTTTCTATCTTTAATGTTTATGACCTGTAGTTAAATTGGTAGTGCAGTTAGAAAGTCTTTTCCTTGTCATAATACCAGTTTCTGATTAGAGCTTGCTGAAACTAGTTTCAGGTAGATCTAGTTTTGAATATCAACTCTAACCACAGTTCTGTTTCAAAAACTTGCTAAATAACTATTTGCTTAATATACTATATAAAAATAGTTAGTACTCTTATCCTAAATAAAATTTAATCTATATCTTTACTGTAATATAGATTCCAACTCTAACTTTTCTAGCAAAACTATTAAAAATATAATGCCACTGGTGTAATTTAGTAATATTGTTTATTAATTTTCAAAATACTATAAATTATTCTTATTTAATAGCTATCTATTTGCTGTACTAAATTTAGTACAAAATACTGATTTAGTACAGTTGTAAAATTTAAATTTTGAAAAATTTTTCTTATTAACTTTAAATTAAATTTATACAATATATAAATATATACTTATATTTTATTTTGATATATTTAAAATTGGATTAATATATTTGTAACCAGAGGTTATAGATAAATTTTTATAACTGTTATATTAAAATTTGAAGATTAGGTATAACGTGAGAACCAAAACAATATTTTTTCTTTGAAGTTAGAGTCAGGGTTAGCCCGAGATTAAGGTCAGAGCAGAGCATAGTTTATACCAAAATTTTGCAAGAATTTTTTTTTGTTAGAATGCGAAGGATAGTTTCATAAGCAAAATTTTGAGTTATTAGCAATTTCTTTAAAAAAACTAGTATTTGTTTTGATTTTACATTACACCTGATCTTGAAATTTGATTGGCTTTACAGATTGCGGTTACAATAACCAGGGTTACAAATTTATTAATCCTTTAAAATTGCTCTAATTTAATAAAAGTTATATTAACAAGCTTAAAATTTTTAGGTATATTTTTTAATACTAAAAATTTTAGTACAATTAAAAAATATATATAGCAAAATTTTTATTTAATTAAACTTTTTTAAAATTTTAATATGTTATAGAGCTAGTTTTTCTAATTTTAATGATACTTAAAACATTAAAATTGGATTAATATATAAGAAGTTACAAGTAATTTAATTTTAATAATTTTTTTATACAATTTATTATATAAAAACATATAAATATAATTTACTATATAAAATATAAAAAATATACTAACTATATTTAGACCTGTAATACCTTAAAACAGATTTATTTAAACTATTTTAAAAAATTATTTTTTAAATAAAATATTTTTTTTTACAATTAGATTAGATTTATAATAATTTGAAATTTTGATATTTTTTATAATTTTATTATAAATTTTTAGAAAAAAAATTACTTTATTGCTGTACTAAATTAAGTATAGTAAAATTTCAAAAAAACACAACAACTTTAAAGCTAATTTATACTAGATTTAATTAATAAATATTAATCAAATTTTATATAAATATTACTTCAATATTAAAATATATTTTAGCAAAATTTGAAGAAAATTTATTGTTTAAAATAATTTTTTTAGTGTGTACTAAATTTAGTACAAAGTGCAAATGGATAGCCATTAATAAATAATATATTTTATTATATAAAGACGTATTAGATGCTAATCATATCAAATAATATTATAAATATATAATTATTATATAATTATTACATAATAAAAATATTTATCAAAAAACTAAGGTTCTGTAAAGTAGATTGCTGAAATTCTACGTTTCTAGTTAAATATATTGGATTTTTATCTATATTATTATGAGGATTCGTGTACTAGTTTGTTCCAGGGTGGTAGTATAAGATAGTTGCAAAAATTTCTTCCGAAAAGATATAACCATTTGGATATGTAGTTCCACCTAATAATTACAATATATAGTAGTGTAAATAAAAGAACGATTACATTTAATATTATTCTTGATTATTTTAGCTTACATTCTGACTTCGGTGGTGGCAATCCGCCCTTAGTATCTGTAAGAATGAGATAGGTAATATCTGAAAATGCTCCATTTCCAGAGGTACTCTATTTATTTTTGAGATAAATGTTAATCAGGAATAGTTGATGCATTTATATAATAGAATTATGATAATTACTATAACTGAAACAAGCTCGGAATCATAATTTTTCGTTGGATCAGACGATGGTACGGAATTGATAACAGTTAAAGTCATTACTGAAGTATCACTTGGAATATTTGATCTAACAATATATTGATCCGCTAAATTGTTACGAAAATGAAAGATAGAAAACCAATTATTTATTACTTATATACAAGATACTAAAAGTACTAAAATATGATTGATACAAGTAAGTA